ACGAGGGAGTACTTTGAATTATACGTGGAATTTTATGGAATATGTGAGTCCTTTTAATATGTGCACACTTTGCACGGAATAAAATAGAAAGAGGTAATGCAATACTTATTCTTAAATGAGAAGAGACTTCTATACAAAAATAAAGTATGTCAGTAAAAAGCACTAGTTCAAAGAAGAGCACTAATATTAAGGGTGTAAGTACCATCGTGGTAATGATGACTCTTGACTGTTGAAAGTTTACGGGCTACGGTAGCATGTCTATGGTGCACATGAAAATAAATGCAATCCCAAATTTTTGGTAGAAAAATATCACAAGATACTCAATAGTGTCAAGGAATTGGTAAAAGTTAAAAAATAAAACTAGAACACGGATGTCCTCGAGTAGGTGGCAAACTAGTGTCATGAACTCAAACGAAGTGAGTTGAATTATTTTTAGAGCAAACCTGTTGTTAACAATAGTTATCAAGTTATGGATCTAACATGAGCTCTAAAGGTATGAGCGAAAGTGGGGTTATGAAATTATCAAATGATGGATAAATATGAGGCAAATATCTTATTAATCTTTGGAAAAAATAAAAGAACATTCCAAAAATAATTTTGATGATTAGTGAATATTAAAAGTTTTAAGTGAAAAAACTTTTCCTGGAAACAGGATTCATAAAGGACAACAGACTAATTTGACAGTATTCGTTATAAGGAAATTTTGAGACTACGAGTCGGAATGAACAAGTTTTGCAGATACCAAGTGGACAATATAACTTCGATCTCATAAACTATGAGATATTGCCTGAGCAAGTTAAGAAATTAAGGGAGCATGATAATCAGTTATTCTTTATCTCAAGACCAAAAACAATATTTATTAAGGACGTCCAATCACAAAGAAATTTTTGGTTTATTTGAAGATACTTTTCAGGTACAACTTGACGTATGCATGACTAAAGAAAATGCATGCATGTATAATAATGATGTGGGAGCTATGTGTAGTAGCTATTATTGATATTGAATGGTATTCATATATGTCACTAGTTAAAAGTTTTAAAGATTTACATTTAATGCACTTATGGTATATGTACGACCGATTGGGGTCAAGATGGTACATTATATTATGTATTGTTGGTTGTTGAGCGATATTGTTATTAGTGCCCATGTGGGGGCTTGTTCTGGACAGGTTAAAGTTTTTGAATAGTCCAAGTTATAGGAGAAACTCTGCTGAAAATTTTAAGAATTTGTAAAGATAGCCAAATTTTGAGGGCCATAAGTAAGTTTGAGATTTTGGAAAGAAAGTATAAGACCCATGTAGTCATAAGTGCCTATGAATAATGGTTCGAGGTAAAAGGATGGTAACTCTATTCTTAAAAGTGACTTGTAAAATATTCGAGGACGAATGTTCTTAAGTGGGGGAGAATGTAGCACCCCGTAAAATTTTGAAGTACTTAAGCACTATTAAAAAAGTTGATGTGCGCTAATTATATTATTTTGTATGCAGACGAGGACTATTAATATGATATCAATTGGATATGATAATAAGTGTACGAGGCATATTATAAATGATGTGGGGTCTAAGGATAGCCTTATGTTCAAGTCAAGTTGAAAATTTCATGATAGACTAAAGTTTCAAATGAGTACGCACACGACTGAACTTGT